TAGCAGCATTATTCCCAATAACCAAAACATGGAAGCATCAATGCATGCATGAAAAAACAAACAAAACGTGGTCTATCCATGCAATGGAATATGACACAGGCTTCAAAAGGAAATCCTGCCACATGCTACAACATGGATGAACCTTGAGGACATTAGGCTAAGTGAAATAAACCAGCCCCAAAGAGACAAATATTGTGTCATTCCACTTATATGAGGTACCCAAAGTAGTCAAACAGAAAGTAGAGTGGTGGTTGCCAGGCGCTGGGGCCAGTGGGGTATGGGGAGCTATTGTTTAATGGGAACAGAGTTTCATTTCTTGCAAGATGAAAAGAGTTCTGGATATGGGTGGGGGGTGATGACGTGTGTGTATGTACTCAACACCACTGAAAGATGGTTAATTTTATGTTATGTGTGTTTTGTCACAATGATTAATAATTTTTAAAAAAAGAGTTGAGACTACACGGATTTCACCTCTAAATGGCCAAAGTATCAATTCACTTCAATCCACTTGGATGAGAGAATTTCTCTCAGAGGCCACTATAACTTCATACCACATCAATCACACCACACACTTCGGTATTTCTATGTCTTCATTTCCATTATCTTTTGGCCCAGCGTTCTCAATGTGACCAAAAAATCTGCAGTAGATCCATTAGCTGCTAATTTCCTGAATGTCAAGATCAAAGACACAATGTTCAAAGGCACAAAACAACTGGGACATTCTGCCGTGAGCCAGAAGATGCCTATATGCTGGCCCTACAAGCCAGCAATCTATACGCCCCCACGGGGTCTCCACGGCAGACTGTGGAACTAATAAACCCTCAGAGTCGCTCTGACCCACATACCACGAAGTCAGGCTGAAAACGAGAAACTGCTTCCACCCCCCGCCCACGCAGCTGCATCTTCGGAGCGCTCTGGCGAAGGCAGACGCCTGCCTCCAATGGAAGTCAGCGGTGATGGCCAACCTAACCGCCTGGGCGCACTGTGTGAGGATTTCGTTTTCTGTCTCCAATGCAGGTCTATTTTGCTTCATGTGGATTTTTGTTCAAAACCGCTATCTCCTTTTTCACATTTGGAATGAAAACCGAAGCAGCTACCTGGAGATCTACCCCTCACATCATCTTCCCCTTGGCCCGACCCCGACCCCTGACAACTGTCTCTCCCTGGAAAACCCTCCTTCCCCAACAGGGAACAGCCCAGCTCCTGTCTTGCCTGTCACGGCAGACCCTGCTCCGTCCCCCCAACCTCCATCCTCCCCTTCACCCCACAGCACTACGGACATCGTGGGCCAGATCATTCTGTGTTGTAGGGTCTACCCTGTGCGTTGCGGGACGTTCAGCAGCATCTCTAGTCTCTACCCGCCCGAGGCCAGCAGCACTCTCCCATCCACCTAACCCAAAATGTCTCCCAGCACTGACAAATGTCCTGGGACCAGAACTGTCCCTGTTCAGAACCACTATTCCATACTATAGAGGCTTCAGGAAGGCCCAGGGCTGCCCGGCTGAAAATCGGATTTCCCAGTATGGTCCCCGCCAATGACTGACAATGTGGGCTGGCTGGCTCCCTTGTCTGAAGGAGGAAATGCTACAATGAGATCCAGGACCTAGAGTCCCCTCCCCACCACACACCAGGCTGAGGCTCAGCCTTGCTTGGCTGTCACCCTTCACCTTGACCACTTCACACCCACCCCTGCAGGGTTTTCTCTTGCGGCCCATTTTGGATTGAATTGTATCCCCCAAAGATGTGTTGACCTCCTAGCCCTCAGTACCTCAGAATGTGACCTCATTTGGAAATAGGGTCGTTCCAGATGGGATTATTGAAGATGAGGTCATCGTGGAGTAGGGTGGGCCCCTAATCCAACATGACTGATGTTCTTACAAGAAAAGACACAGACACACACAGAGCGAAGGCAGGCTAAGTGAGGGGGAGGCAGAGATGAGAGTGAGGCAGCTATAAGCCAAGACTGCCAACAACCAGCAGCTAGAAATAGGCAAGGAAGGATCCCCTCTGGGTTTCAGAGGAAGCACGGCTCTGACAGCACCTTGCTCTTTGACTGAAAGTCTCCAAACTCTGAGACTATAAATTTCTGTAGTTTTTTTTTTTTTTTTTTTTGCGGTACGCGGGCCTCTCACTGCTGTGGCCTCTCCCGCTGCGGAGCACAGGCTCCGGACGTGCAGGCTCAGCGACCATGGCTCACGGGTCCAGCGGCTCCGCGGCATGTGGGATCTTCCCAGACCGGGGCACAAACCCGTGTCCCCTGCATCGGCAGGCGGACTCTCAACCACTGCGCCACCGGGGAAGCCCCAAATTTCTGTAGTTTTAAACCACCCAATTTGTGGTGCTTTGTCACAGCAGCCCTAAGGAAACTAATCCACACTGAAATGCTATCTCAAGCTCTGCTCCTCGGGACCCCAACCGCAGACACTGACCTTCCCACTCAAAGAGTATAAATTCCAGAGCAAGCTTGAGACGGCAGATATGAGTCCATTCTTCCCTCAATTTCCACGAGCCTTTCTTTACATGAGAAAGAAGAAGAAGAAGGAAAGGAGGAAGGGGGAGGGAGAGGAGAAGGAAATTTACTTTGGGGATCCTTCCTTCCTCCATCCTCTACTCATTCAATAAATATTGCTGAGCACTACCACGTGCCAGCCACTGTTCCAGGAGCAGGTGAGAGAGCGGTGAACGAACAGACAAAAGCCACTGCCCTCCCAGGGTTCACATACTAGCAGGGGAGACAGACCATAAAACGTACGTCTACGGGATGATGACAAGTGCCATAGAGAAAACTAAAGCAGGAGAAGCGGGCGGGGAGTGCCCGGGGCGGGGGCTGCCTCTGGTGTCTGATACAAATGTTCCCATGGTCCTGTCGGGCGAGGTCTCAGCTCAGGCAGAGGGCGGCACACCTGGTGCACACCAGTACACTTGGGCTCCTTCTCTTTTCTGCCCTAGCCCTTCAGTGAGGTTTCGGGAGCCCACCTGGCCAGTGTGCTAGGACGGGCTCCATGTCCGTCCCAGTGCCAGAAGGGCGACCTTCAGAACCACCACTGACTCTGACGACCCCTCCTTCCCCGTCTCCTCCTCAGCTCTCACTTCTGCTTCTTGGGATCACCTCCTAAATTAACGATCTGCACCCAGGCCCCGGCCTTGGCCTCAGCTTTCAGGAGAACCAAACCAGGGCAGAGGGGCCAGGAAGACTTTCCATTTCAGGCAAGGTAACCTTTCAGCCAAGACCTACAAGAGCCAGGTATGGGGATGTCCGGACTCTCTACCTCCGGGGCCTTCCACTGACGTGAAGGGAGGAGCTGGCAAATTTGGAATTTATTTTGTCAGGTGGGCCTCCCTCTTTCAACATAATTTTCTTGACAGTTGAAAAGCGAGTGATATCAAATATCGAGGAGGATACACACAAAGCACCAAATATATCCTGATCGTGTGATGGGAAAGAGGATTTGGGATTATAGCAGACACTGCCAACATCGTGCCCGCTTCTCCTGACCGTGACCACTTCAGCCTGCCAGCTCCTGCACTTATTTTTGCATTTGTGGATGTCAAAAGTCTCTGTACCGGGCTTCCCTGGTGGTGCAGTGGTTGAGAGTCCGCCTGCCGATGCAAGGGACACGGGTTCGTGCCCTGTTCCGGGAAGATCCCACATGCCGCAGAGCGGCTGGGCCCATGAGCCACGGCCGCTGAGCCCGCGCGTCCGGAGCCTGTGCTCCGCCAACAGGAGAGGCCACAACGGTGAGAGGCCCGCGTACCGCAAAACAACAACAACAACAACAACAACAAAAGTCTCTGTACCTGCCAGTGTAACAGGACAGAAATACCAGGAAATGAACCTCCCCATCCCCCCAGCCCTCATTCAGTGGCTAATAGGAGGTGCTGTACAAAGACCCCGGCTCCTTCACCCCTCAGGTGGAAAGGCTCTTAGGTGTCTGACACTGGCTCCCAGTTCCCCCAGCAGGTTTCAGCTCCAGTCACCCACAGTGGTGGTCGGCTCAATAACTGCACCCCTCATGCGACTTTCCCACCCCCTCCTGGTGTTTCCTCTGGTGTCACCTCCCTATTAAATGACTTCCCCTGCCTCAGGGTCTTCTTTTTCTTGGGGAATATAAACTAAGAGAGTGATAGCTTTGAAGATGTGTACACACACACACACAGTGGAACAGCCCCTCCAGCCCTCATGTTTAACACCTGCACCCCAAATGTGATGCTAGCGTATCAAATCCCTGGCCAGTAGACCTCGGCTTTAGAAGCCCCTTGATGTATTCGATGCAAAATAATCCCATCTGCGTTACACAGGATCACTGTCCCCGCGTGGACGGGCTAGACCAGCCTCCAACTGGTGGGGTTTTTTCCTTCCCATACACTCCCCTCATATCTTTGCACCCACAGTGGGGGCAGTGCTGTCCTCCAGCCCACAGAATGCCCAAGGGAGGGACCCTAAAAGTCCACTGGTGAGACAGCCTGGTCCATGGGTGGCTCCCCAAGGGGCCAATTGCTCTTCCCTGGGCTGGAAGAGGGAAGGAGGCTAATCTCACAATTTGCCTGAAAAAAATCCATCTATCATCCCGTTCTCCAGCCTTCATTTTATTTTTCCCAAATCAATTTCTGAAAGTCAAAATGACTGATAGCTTCATACCCAGGACCATCACTCTCCTTAGTAAATAACCCAGCATCAATGACAAAGAGCTCCCAGGGCAGTGGTGGCCACATGAACCCACACACATGGGAAAATTGCACAGGGTCTGTAGTTTAGTTACTAACATCAGTTTTCTGGTATCGCTAACGCACTCGGATCGTATCAGATTTATCATCGGGGAAGCTGGATGAAGAATACACAGGACTCTCTGTACTGTTCTTGCAACTTCTTGGGAGTCAAAAATTATTTTAAAAACCAGAGGTTTTAAAAATGCAAATAAAAAAAAAGTTAAATACTGAGATAAAAATAATCATTTTTTTAAAAAGCTCCCAAGAGGAGATGCTGCCAACCCATCCCTTACCTGAGAACTGGGAATCAGCGCCTTCCACCAGTGTCCGCCTTTCACCAAGTCGACCTCGCACAAAGGCACGGCCACCTTGCCGATGACACAGTGGCGTGAGAACTTATCAAAGTCCAGCACAGTCAGCAGCAGGGTCCTCCTCTGCGCCTCCAGGAAGGGGATCTCAAAGGTGTAGCGCTCCTCGAACACGGGCTTCTGGGTCTTGCGTTTGACCCCGGTCTGCTTGGAGTTCTTCTGGTCCGGCAGGAGGCAGATCTTGACGTAGGGGTTGGAGTGCGCCATGTCCTGGCGCGCGCCATCGTGGGAGATGGGAGGTGGCAGGTCCCTGGCCTCGATCACGCGCACCGTCAGGTGGTTGTGCAGCAGGTCGTACTGGGTGCTGAAGTGCAGCATGCCCAGCTGGTACTTGGACAGGATCTCTGCGTCCGTCAGAAAGTCCACGTCGTCGCTGTTGGAGCCGAGGGAGTACAGGCGGGGCTCGAACTTTCTGAAATAGTCATCCGGGGTATAGGTCCGTCTGAGCACCGAGGGCTGGATGGGCTCCTTCTTGGAGCTGAGAACGCCGAACTCGATGGGTTTAATATCGATGAGTGGGGAGCTGGGTCGTCTGGAATCGAGACCTACACACCCATCAGAAATAACAATGAACACCACACCAAGTACCGGACCGGACCTGGGCCGATCTGTGAGACTGACGACAGTTCCCGGATCCTCACACCTGTTCGCTCTGCTTCATGATGCTCTTTGCCAGGTGCTCTCCACTCCCGGGAATTCTCTTATTTACTCTATGGGAGGCAGCCTGGCGGTACAGCCATCCCCATCGCCATCATCACGGCAGCTAAGCGCCAGGCACTGCCCTAACTGCGCTGCGTATATCCAGTTATCTAATCTTCACAAGGTATTAGCCAGAGACTGTTATCTCCACTTTACAGATGAGGAAACAGAAACTTTAAGTCACTCACCAAAGGTCACACAACTAGTAAGAGGAGGAGCCAGGAGTCAAGCCCCACCTGTCTGGCCCCAGAGTCTGGCTCTAACCATTACCCTATACTGCCTCTACTTTCACAGAGTAGGCTCTGGGGCCAGAGTGCCTGGGTCAAATTCCAACCCGGCTACTTCCCAGTGAGTGTGAATCTCTAGTAATGAGCCGTGTGACTCCAGGCACATTTTACACACTCGGTTTTCCCATCTGAAACATGGAGTCCATCACAGCACCCACCTCAGGGACTGTGGTGAAGATTCACTGAGCAATGCAGAGAGGGCTCAGCACAGAACACGCACATGGTTAAGAGGCACTAAATGGTAGCTACTGCCCATCTTCAAGGATCACACTCACACCTCGTCACTTACGGGATACCTCTCCCCGGCAAGCAGCAGAGTTCACTGCTCCCAGTTCATCATTCCAATCTCTGCTCATCCCTCTACTCTAGCAATGAGCTCATGGCATTCTTTTTTCATTTTTAAAGGACTTAATTGAGGCATGATTGACATACAAAAACCTGTCTATATTTAATATACACAACTTGATGAGTTTGGAGATAAGTTTGCACCCATGAAACCGTCACCACAACCTATACCATAAACGTATCCATCACCTTCAGAAGTTTCCTCCTGCTTTCTTTCTTTATTTAATTTTATGTGTGTGGTAAGAACATAAGAGCTACCCTCTTTTTTAAGTACTCCATACAGTACTGTTAATTTTATGCACTCTGCTGGACAGTGACTCTCTAGAACTTACTCATCTGGCATAAGTGAAACCAACACCTGCCTGGTTCCAGCTCCCCCTGGGAACCATATTCTACTCTCTGGGCTTAGGAGTTTGATTATGAGATGCCTCGTATTAATAGGATTGGTATTTGTCCTTTCATGGCATCTTGTTAATTGCCCAAAGCCTGTCTTGCTGGCTAAAATCACGAGCCTTTGCCGGTGCGTGGCTGCACTCTCTGATAAATGTGTGCTGAATGCAGTCATCTCTGTATAGAGCTGGGCACGAGATTTAGGAATCATCTAGACTAGCGCCATCCAAGAGAAAATAAATGCGAGCCAGATACAGATGTACAAGCCACAGAGGTAACTTAAAATTTTCCGGTAGCCACAAGTTTTTAAAACTACCAAGAAACAGGTGAAATCAATTTTAATATCCAATATATCCAAAATATAATCATTTCAATATGCACGCAATGTAAAAACATTTTAGTGAGACACTATAAATTCTCTTTTTTCACACTGGCTTCAAAATCCATTGGGTATGTAACAGGTGCGGGGCATCTCAGCTCAGCCACATGGGTGGTGGCCGCTGTGACCAGCGTGGGGGGCAGGACAGCCCTCTCATTCTACAGATGGAAAGACTGAGGCTACAGAAGCCCGACATCCCCTCCGTTTCACTATTTCAAGCCCTTGAACTTTACTTCCTTCTTCTTCCCCCCATAGTCCCGGGAAAGATCAGACATCAGTCATTTCCAGCTGAGTGGATTAGTTTCATGAATTTAAGCTTTTTCCCTGTTAAGTGAATTTCAGACATCAGCTGAATGAAACAGAGGAGACTCATTTGGGGAGTGACAGGAGGTTGGGAGTCTCTGGGCTTTCTCCTTCCCACCCAGATCATGCCATCTGGTCAAACACACAGGCTATACATGGACAAACTGAGTGGCCTGAGGGCCACATTCAACCCAGAGATACATTCTGTTTGAGTTTAAAAGTAAAGAAGTTTCATATAAAAACCCAGACTGCCAGTTTCCCTTTCCAAAGATCAGGCAATACAATCCCACATGGCAAGAGCTGAGTAGTAGCTGGCCCCGTTCAATGAGACATTAGCTTCCTAACTGGCCCCAATCCCTACCCTGCCCTAGTACAAGGCCAAGAGTCAGCTGCCATTTGTCACTGCATTAGGGTGATATTTATCTCTCTCCAACCCTCTGCACTCAGTCACTGACACAATCCATTTGGCCCCTGAAGTCACTTGAATTTGCAAGCCCTGCTACGTAACATGGTAACTAACACTTGCCTTTCGGGGTCCGAAATGATAATATGATGACAATGTCATCAACTGAGCCAATTCAATGAAACTTGTGATCAATACTACAAAAATCAATCAAAATGATCGCTTCTCACTGAACTTGGAAGAAATCAGGTGCGATGCCCTCCTTTGTCACACTGCCATGATCTCTGTCATCTTGTCTCCTGGCCTGTCACACCACTCCACCCCCTCCCCAGAGATGACCCTGTCCTTCACATCTTTCCCGGGGATGCTCCTGAGTGTCTGGGAATGCCAGCTTTCTCCATTTGTCCTGGGGACCCAGATAGCGGGGGTGTACTTCACAGACTCTGAGTGGCAGCTGAGCAGCAAGGCTTGCTCGAGCCAGGACCCCTGACCGTCACGGCAGAGACGCTTACTTGAAATCCTCCGGGTCAGGCTGTATGTAGACTTAGATGTGTCCGAGGACGAGCATCTCCGATCTGGGGAGTTGGTCCGTGGGGTCAGCGGGACTTCACTGGCTGTGTGGACAGAGTTCCCGTCCTTGTCACTGCTCCGGCTGGCCAACCTGTAGGAGAGAAGAGGTCTCAGTGGTTGTCAGAGAATCCCCAGGGATTGGCATCTCTGTCCCATGGGAGACAGACCCATGACGAAACTGCTCTCAGACCCAGGTTATGCAACTTGGAATAAAGCAAATTTGAAATAAACTCTCAATAGCTGTTAACTCTCAATAACATCTTGCTTGTTGTACAAAATGTGAAATGATATAAATGAGTATTTCCCAATTTAGAACAATCCGTCAAGAATTTGCACAATTTCAGAGCTGAGGCTGGGGTGGGGGGAGGGGTATGGAAACTTCCTCAGGATGCTGCCACACGGAGGGTACCACTTTGACTAAACCAAGACAAGACCTGTCAGTCTTCAGTCTGGAAGGGAGAATGTGGCCGTTTATATGCATCAGAACTTCTGCGAGTGGCTTTTGGTAAGAAGTGTCCCACTATTTCAACAGTCACTGTGTCTATAAGATCTTTAAAAAATATCCTATAACAATGTCACTCCAAGTTTCTTTGAATGGCAAGGCTATGGCTACAAAATGGCCCTGAGAATCAATGATTTAAGAGCAACATTTTGATGTGTAGAAACAGCTGCGAATTAGCAGCAGCCACAACTCAGTGTGCTCCCAATAAGGATGAGAAATGCTGAAAAAATAGAAAGCACTTCGGGGGGCGGCGGTACAAGGTAGTAATTAAGAGCTAGCTCAAGGCAAGTCCCTCCCTCTCTCTGTGCCTCCGTCTCCCCATCTATAAAATGGGACTAATAATAGTACCTGCCTTACCCAGTTGCTGTGAACACTGAGTTAACAATATAAAATGCTTAGAACAGTGGTTGGTATGTTGCAGGTAAGTGCTCAATACATTTTAATTGATGTTATTATAGCACAGGTGGCTTTAAGATCCCCCAATACTCACACAGCTACTAAGGACGCTGGGAAGGGGAAGGGGCGGGGAGACAGCTTGCAAAGTGGCCGTGAGACTGATGCTGCTGACAGCAAGCCCCTCGGCCATACCTTCAAGACTGCATCCCCCAACTTGACATTTAAACCTGAGGCGAAACTAGTCTTGAAAAATGCAACTTTCAAATTCTATAAGGTCTGCAGATGCAGCCTGGGCATGACACGAGACTGATCTGATGTTCCTCCAAAGCTAGGGTCACAGCCAGGACGAATGGGCACGTTACGGGGCGAAACTCCCAGTCCTTGCTTGCCTCCTGCTCCTGGTCTGTAAAAGGAGAACGGAGGGGCTTCCCTGGTGGCGCAGTGGTTGGGAGTCTGCCTGCCGATGCAGGGGACGCAGGTTCGTGCCCCGGTCCGGGAAGATCCCACATGCCGTGGAGCGGCTGGGCCTGTAAGCCATGGCCGCTGGGCCTGGGCGTCCGGAGCCTGTGCTCCGCAGCGGGAGAGGCCACAACAGTGAGAGGCCCGCGTACCGCAAAAAAAAAAAAAAGGAGAATGGAGCAGATGGAATGTGGGGCATGGAAGGGGGCAGGCGAGGGCACAGAGATGCGATCGTACTAGATCAGTCCTTCTCTCTCTCCTGTAAATGAAGCAGCAGCACCTCCCAAGGAAGGCAGGACCAAAATGCGACGCGGCCACTGGGGCCCCTCCGCCTGCATGGCCTGTTTCCCGGCTGTCATACCTCACCGAGGCCGCTGCCTCCACCTGTGAAGTCCCATCAGTCTTCAAGGATCAGCTTAAAGGCCATTGCTTCCTGAAGCTTTGGTTGAGTCCTCTCAGACACGGTAGCAGTGTATGCCCAGCCCACCCCGGCCCTTTGGCGACCATCAAGCCTCCGTGCCCTCTGTTCCTTCCGCCTGGAATGCTCTTCCTGCCCTGTCACCTGTCTTGTTCCTCCTCATTGTTCAGATCTCAGCTGCAACAGCACCTCCTCAGAGGTCCCACCCTGTCCCGTCACCTCCTCCCACCCCGTCACTCCTTATCCCTGCACCTTCTTTTCCCCACTTCAGCACATAACTCTTCTTCAGTGTGGCCTGCCTGCCTATCTTCTGCGTCTAAGCCACAGCTCCACGCGGGCAGGGGCAGTATCTGCCTTACTCACCACTGCCCTCCTTGCCCTAGCACGGCACCTGGCACGTCTGGGGCGCTCTGGTTTATTTTTTTCAGTGAATGGGTGAATGAATACACCTTTCCAGTGGTTCTCATCTGACTTATCTTGTGTCACTCTGATCTGAGGGCACGCCTTGTCACTCCTCCCGTAACAGGGTGGGATCTGTACTTACTATGATCAAAAGTACCAGGTGCTGAGCACCTACTGTGTGCCAGGCACTGTGCTCAATGCTCTGTATGAACCATCATTTCATCCTTGAATCAATGCAGGAGTTAGTCGTTATGAACCACCCCCACCCCCTTTACAGACAGGGAAATGGAGGCCCCAATCGGGTGGAGGGAGGGGTGGAGAATTGACCTGCACCACTGTGAAATGGCAGAACCCCAGTGGAATGCAACAGTACCAGACTCCGGATCACATGCCCCACGCTACAGAGCTGGGTATCCCCTGGGAGGCCTATAAGAGCCCTGCGCTTAGTAGGTACTCAACACATGCTTGTTGGACAAAGAAATAACCTAATTCACTCTTCAGTGAGGGTCTTCCTGGCACTGCCCCAAAAGGAGCCAGTCGGATTGTACCGTTTTTCTGACCCTCACCAGCCCAGCCCAGCCCAGCCCAAGAAAGCTGGGGGGACCCACGTGATGGAAGCATATGTGACAATTAATGGTGTGTCCCCCCAAATCACACACACAAAGGGCCAGCTCATCTGCCACATGCCACCCCACAGAGAGGCATGTTCTGTGGTTCTTGGTTCTAATGTCACAGTAGCAACAGCACTACAAGGCCTATACACTTGACATTTCTACTCTCTGCCTGTTTGATAACATGCAACTGCCTGCCTGGTAAATAAATCTGAGGAAAGCACAAGCACTAAATTCTCTTTCTGGAGGATTTAACCGGCCTCCCCTTTACCGATTTCTCTTAATATTTCGCATGATCTTGACAGTCAAAAATGTACTCAGTGTGCCCAGGATTCAAGGAAGACCTGGGTCATCTTAGGAAGCACAAAGGTCATGTACAGCTGCTCAGACTGTACACTGCACTACTCTAGGTGGTCCCATTCATAATGACCACCACGTGAAGGGCACCTCCTGAAACTGTGTGGTGTGCTGGCTCTGCTGGAAGGTTCCAGCCCACTTCTCTGCTTGTGGCATAACCAAAACTAGTGTCTTCCCTGAGGGTCCCACCCCAGAAGAAATCCCCTGCTTGTACAAAGGGTCAGCAGCCTGGGCAAAGCAAAACTATCCTCCAACTCAGTGGCCGTGCATCTGTAACACTCTGCATCTGGGGCAAACAGATACCAGGCTGTGATTTTCAATGTCTATCAGGGGTCTGCTCTGGTTCAGAAGAAAATCCAAATTCCTTAATCTGGCATTTGAGACCCTACACAACCTGAGCTCGCAGGCTCGTTTTCTATGATCCCCCCGATTCGTGGCGTTTGTCCACCCTGGATCCAGTCACAGCACCCAAATTGTTTATTACCCAGGTCTGCAAACTACAGGGCCAAATCCACTGCCTAATTTTGTAGAAGTGTTATTGGAGCACAGCTATGCCCATTCACTAATGAACTGTCTATGGTTGCTTTTGTACTACAAGGATAGAAGTGAGTAGCTGCAACAGAAACTAAGCCCAAGAGGCTAAAATATTTACTATCTAGCCCTTTATCGGAAAAGTTTGCCAACCCCTGTTCGACTAGCTTATTATTTCTTGTGTTTCAGGTGGAATAACCCTTTCCCTGGTTCCAGGATGGTCAGGAAACCCAGGAATGATCCCAGCACTTTTTCCTCCAAGCAAAAGTGATTGGATCAAGTGATTGGCACACGACCCGAGCCAGGGCAATGAGAGCCTTTCCTGATACATTTGTTGCTGTTAAAAATGAGGCAGAGAAAAAACAAAGCTTAAGAATGAGGCCAGGGCTTCCCTGGTGGCGCAGTGGTTGAGAGTCCGCCTGCCGATGCAGGGGATGAGGGTTCGTGCCCCGGTCCGGGAGGATCCCACATGCCGCATAGCGGCTGGGCCCGTGAGCCATGGCTGCTGGGCCTGCGCGTCCGGAGCCTGTGCTCTGCAACGGGAGAGGCCACAACAGTGAGAGGCCCGCGTACCGCAAAAAAAAAAAAAAAAAAAAAAAAAAAAGAATGAGGCCAAAACAGAAGAAATGTAAAGAAAGAGAGTGAGAGCGCGTACATGCACGCCCATGACATCATTTGAGCCCCTGGAGCCAGCTATGCCTGCAGTCATTCTCCCAGGATTTTTCCATAACAAAACTCTGCAAGACCGTCATACGGGCGTGCAGGGTGTGAATACACAAACTGAACTTATATACCTGCTGTACCTCCTATACTAGAGTTTAAATCCCCTGAGCATGGGAACAGGACTCTATCTAGCCTTGTAGGGCAACCTCAAGAGAAAAACTACCGAAGAAACTGAGATTAACTTTTCAATGGCATGACTGCCACTTTCAGGACTCAATTTCTGCCTGCAGGTTAGTCAGCTGGTCAACAGCCATTTTTGGGAATGAACAAGATAGCCCTGTCACAGCAGAGCTGGAGTTCTTCTGAGCATGGCTTTAAAGACACCAGATGGGCTGAGCCAACCTCTGTCACTGGAAAATGGGGATGATCCCTTGATTAACGAGTTGGTTTCACCAAACATCTCAACTCTATGCACACCTGCAGGATTCAGGCTACAACCTGTGAGTAATGGGAGGTTCCTTAACATTATCTTTATCAGTTGAAAGAATCTTGATCTACACCTAATAATAATAGAGATGAATACTTACTGCTGTGCTCAGCACGTTACGTGCATATCTCATGACGCTTAACAGCGACCCTATAAAGTAAGTTCTATTACTTTTCCTACTTTACAGATGGGGAAACCCAGAATAGGGTAAAAAGAATCACTTAACGTCTATGATTACCAACAAGGTATCAAGCAGCCTTAGGTACTTTTCCATACACTAATTCATGCAATCACCACAACCACCCTATAAGATAAATACTATTCTTTTTATCATCCCCATTTGACAGATGGGAAATCAAGGCACAGAGCGATCAAGCAACTTGTCCAAGGGAACAGAACTAGAAAAAAGTAGGAGAAACAGGATTTGAACTCACAGAGCCTGACACAGAGCCATTTGGCTATGGAAATATCTGATACTTGCTTCTAAGAAAATAAGAGGACTGAGGCATGACCCCCAACTTGGAGGGAAAGATGGGGCGCCAGAGGCTTCTGGAATCTTAGCCCAAGGGTTTAGCTGAGACAGCACTGGATCCCCACTGAGGCTGCAGCTGTGGGCCCTCACACTGTCTTCCCAACTCTCTGAGCCTCCCCTCTGTATCATGAGAAGTGGCACCTGATGATTCCCAGGCCCTGGCCCTCTAGACTCAACCCAGACTCTCCGGCCACATTCCTCTCCCAGCCACAGAGAGGTGGACCAGACACGTGGCTGAGAAGCTTCAAAACTGCGTTCCCAAAATATCCGAGCGACTGGCAGATGGAGATGTTGTATGCGTGCGCGGGAGGAAAACGAATTGGAAATAAAACGAAAGACGCCAGAGAGAACATAAACAGCGAAGGAGGACACGATGGCGACTGGAGGTGCTTTTCTGCTCCCCTGTTTCTGAAGTTCCTGCTCAAACCAGCAGAGAGGCACTTGTTTGTTCATGCTGTCCACACCAAATACTCCTTGAGCATCTAGCATGAGCCAGGCACGGGCCAGGTGCTAGGACAGTTTGTCGTACTGACTTGGATTGAAACCTTTAGAATTTGGACATCCCTTGAAGAATATAGATGCTCACAGATCTCTTTTTTCTGCTTGGAACGACACTCAGCGTGATTAAACGTGCCCACATGCTTAGCGTTACACAGTTCGTATCTCAGAAGGCCCGATGTGAAACCAGCTACACTGAAGCCCCACCCCCAGCTGGTCTCACCAGCCTGCCGAACGCAGCGAGGCACAGAGCACATCCCATCAGCAGCTAAGAGGTCGATGGAAACGCAGCCTTTCCCACTTTCATACCCCAAATCCTCCTTCCCGGGCCCCAAACCCCCTCGCAGAAACGGAGAAAAGAAAGGTCTTAAGATTGCCTTCCAGGAAGTTCGAAGCAGTTTTACTTACAGCCAGGGAGGAGTCTGGGCAGGGAAAGGTCCCAGAATTTCAACTTCATCCTCACTCGACTGGCAACAGCTGGATTCATAGCACTTCTGACAGCAGTGCCGGCAAGTCCATCTGCAGAGCAGCAGATCGGAGATTCTAGAAAGAAAACCCTGAGGCCATTGGGGGAGGTGGGTAGTGAAGAGGGGTAGAGGGGAGGTGGAAAGGGTGGGGAGGAAAAAGAGGAAAAACACCCAAAATTACAAGCAGCTGATCCCTGATGAGAACTAACGACATTCAGGAGGTCTGCCTCCGCCACTGATCACTTAGAACAAAATGTTTTCCATTTCTATTTACCAACTGCAGGCACAAAGATGTGGCAAACACCAACCCGCTCGAGCCATTAACAGCGAGCACAATATTTGCAGGTTATTTCCTTTTGCAGTTTATGTGAACGTCTTTCTTGACATGGGGGTGGTTTATTCAACATCGTGAGGGCTATGCAATATGTTCTCAAAACACAATGAATATTACTTTGTCTTCTTGAAAGCAAAGCAAAAATATTTTAAAAAAATAATCTCATGACATGAGAGTAAACAGAGATAATCAAATGGCAATAAGTAGGGGGTGGGAAGGAAAACTTATCTCATCAACTAGTGTCTTTTCACCGGGATCTCCCTTCCGTAGAAGGGGATCGAAACTATGCCGTTATCAACATCCGGTTGCTGTTTAATATTCAATATCCCCGCAGCCCCACATATGGCTCCAAAATGACAAGCAAGCATTTCTTGATTAGAAGCCAGACCAAGCGAATCGCCGAATTAACTCACCTCGTTTAAAGGTTCCAACTGCCCTTTTAGAGATCCACGTGAAGCCAAGGGGCGCAGAGGGCGAGGGGGGTGACAGAGAGAGAGAGAGACAAGACCAGTTTAGCAATATTCCAGCAACCCAAAAAAAAAAAAAAAAAAAAGCCCTGCTTCTTTCCACTTACCATCCTGGGAAGGGAGCTGACCTCCTAACAAGGTGTTGCTACCTTCAGGGTTGCTGGTAGCCTCCTGGCTAACCAACACCGAATAAATGGGAAACTTTAGCATTTCGATTTGATTTGCACCGTATGCTGTTATGAATCAGAGCGGGTGGATAGATAGTCATGCTATCCAATGCAGCCACACTTCAGGAGAGGAGCAAACCTTCCTATACAGAAATAGCCATGAAGCCAACCCAAAAGGACATGATTAGCTAACATGCAGGCAGACACAGCGTGGATGTGACTTGGCTCCCCCGCCCTCCCCGAGGCCCTACCTTCCAATTCTGCTCCAATGGTGGGGAGCTTCACATGACCACCCACAAACAGAGGGAGCCAAAGAAAAGAAAGCCATAGTCTGGTCCTCGGGAAGAAGGGAGGGAGCCCCTCCCTTCTTCAGCCCCACCTCCACCCCAGTTTCTTCTCTCCGGTTCCCAAGGCACAGGCTCCCGCCACCCTCTTCCGGGAGAGAGTCTTAATGGCTTTCCAAACGGGCCAAGTAAACCAGGTAGGTTAGGAGGAGTCTCCCACAGAACTCAGAACTTTGAGTCAAGAGGGAGAAAGTTAACTGTCTTTTTCAATTCTCTTGCAAGGAGGAGAAAGTCTTAATTTGGTACCATTGTACGTGACATTTTTCTAACAGTTGCAAATCCCATCCCCGCCTTCCTTTTTAAACTGAGAGCAGACCCCAGCTCAGAGCCTTGGAGACAGCCTACCCATCTAGAATCCAAGAATGTGGCATTATTCTCATGGTGTTTATTTTTCCTGTTGCCTTCTGTTTATATCACGTGACCCTGGTTTTCTATTATGGTAATGACATAAAGTTTCCTTGTCATACTATTTTTTAAAGTTAAAATAAAGTGCAAGTCCATTTATAGAAAAAAAATTAAGTGAATAACAGCACAGGTGGTTCGCAGCTCATGAAAAACTCAAAATCCTTGAAGTGATAAGCGATTTACTGCAGCTTGGGAAACGAAGTCTCGGGCACTAATCACACCGAGGCGGGTGAGGAGAAGGGTATGAAACTGAGTGAAGAAGCGCTAGTCCTGGCCTCACCAGTGGCCAATCATGTGACTTGGGCAAGTAGGGGTGGCGGGGGGGGGGGCCACTCTGAGCCTCAGTTAACCTCTTCTCTTTAGTGGAAGGGCTAAGCTAGGACACTATGAAAATGCTTTGTCCTGCCCAGCTGCACAATATCTGAACCCCTTCTGTGGCTTATGAGAACCAGACAGTTTGTCAAGTCCAGTTGGAACCTGCTAGGCACCAGGGACTGTCCTGGCCAATACAGCGGTGAGGTGAACAATGCAGAAAAAGCTATGCCCTCGTGGGGCTCACACGAGAAAGTGTTTTAAAATGCTTACGGTCAAGTGCAAGGATACAGTGATGCTTCTTCACAACAAGCCAGGCTCACAGGGAAGGGTTTCTTGGGTATGCAGTGATCCAAAGAGAACCATTTCTAAAACCATGATGAGCAGAAGCAAGGCCACCTCAGGGGCCCCAATGAGGTACAACCACGCAGCTTTCTCAAGGCCCAGGTGCAAGGTGACTGTCAGGGCAGCAAAGAGAAACCAAGGAAATGAAGAAAGAGGAAAGGGAAGATGCTCTGAGGCTCCCGGGAATGCCAAGTCTTTGAGGCTCGGTTTCATGGGTTTGACCCATTGGAGGAGAACTGATTCGAGCCAGGAAAAAAAGGAGGAAGGAGGAGAACCCAGATATTCTAGAACAGGGGGTGCAAGCTATGGCTAGCAGACCAAATCCAGCCTGCAGCCTGTTTTTCCAGGGCCCTCCAGCTAAGAATGGTTTGTATATTTTTATTTGGTTGAAAAAGAAATTTAAAGATTAATACTTCCTGACTCATACAAAGTATATGAAATTCAGTTTCAGTGTCCACAGACTTTTATTTAGACACAGCCATGCCCATTAATTTACTACTGTCTATGGCTGTTCAGAGCCAGAGTCAAGAGGCTGTGACACAGACCGTGAAGCCCTCCAAGAAAAAAGAAGTATTTACTATCTAGCCCTTTACAGAAAAAGTTTAACACCTTGTTCTAGGAGGAAAGTCAACATCACCGGGCCATCCTCATACCAGATGCTTAACAAATCCCCCACCGATCCCCACCAGCCCCCCTTTTAGGCCTCACCACGACCCCTAAGCACCTGTATGGCCTTGGGCAGGTCACTTAATTACTCTGTGCTTGAAGGCAGTCATTAAGACCCGGAGAAGCGTTGTTCCTTTCTCACTGCACTGTGCATTCTGAGGGGCAGGGACCTACTGCTTTCTCAGCTGTGTCCCCACTGCCATACATAGTAGGTGATTAGCCAAGTGTCTTGAGCAACTGTCGCACAGCGCCCCGCCCGACAACATCCACACAGTAGGTGAACAGTAAATGTGACCTTCATTGAACTTGAAAAGATGACCTAGGGATTCCATAAAAGAGAAGTCAATGGAGCGAACCTAAGGAGAGGGATGTGAAGGCTATGGCCTAGGTGGCAGAGCAGAGTTCCTGGCAGGTGGAAAAGCCTAAAGACATGACGAGGGAATGCGTGAGCCAAAGGGGCACGAGGGGACCAGCAGCAACCCCAGCTATAGCCGAGGGGAGACGTGAGCCCGGATGCACCCTTACTGTGGGAGCCTGGAGGCTTCTCTGCCAGGCTGAGGAGCCAAGCCCAGAAGCAAGCAGCTCAGCGGGTCTGACTGCATGACCTTGGCGCTGACCCGTCGCCACTTCCCCCCCATGTATCGAGACGAAAGGTCTTTCAGTCAAGCAGCGCCCCCTCACCGCCCCCTAAAGAAGGTGCTTGTAAATTATTTCAGCCTAAGTTCTTGGGGGGTGTCCCCAAGATGATGGTGGTCCACAACTCCCAGACCCCAATGCAATGGCCCAAAGTAATCGGCTGCCCCCCCCCCACCACCAGCGCGCCTCTGGTGTGTCCCCCACCGCTCAACACCCAGTGCCCGGGAAAGACGACGTCCTTGTCCCTCCTGGCCGGAACAGGCTCCCTCCGCCGGCCAATTAGCCGGAGCCGTCACCAAGGCAACGGCAGCTGGCGGGCCGGGCGGCTGGCGCGCCCCGGGCCGCCCTGCCCGCGGCCCCTCCCCTGGGGAGGGGTGCACGAGGCAGGAGGTGGGGGAAGGGAGAAGAAAAGTCCGCCCCACCCCCATTCCTTCCCCAGGAGGTGAGGGCGCGCGTGAAGAGTCCGCTTAGGGCCTTTCGTCACGGGGTGCGGGGGTCCCCAGCCTCTTCTCCTGGGGCGCACCCCCCACTGCTGCACAGGTAGCCTGCGCTCAGACACCCTTTTTCTCCAGGCAAGTTTGTGGCAGCGCAGCCGTCTGCCCTCCCTCCCGCGCGCTCACAGTCGCAGGGGGCGCGGCACCCCTCACCCACACCGCGGACCTGGCCCCCCGGCCTCAGCCCTACCTGAATGTACGCCATTTTCGCCCGCGCGCACTCACTCCGGCCCGGGCATGGCGCCGCCACGGCCACTTTGCCCTCGCCAGCCCGAGAGAGGGGAGAAAGCAAAGAGGGAAAGAAAGAAAAAGGCAGCCGGGTGGCCCCAGACGTGACTGGCGTGGCTGATGAGCGGCTCCCGCCCCTCCGTCGGCCGCCCCGTCCTTGCCTTCCCCTGCGTTCCGGCTCCCGGAGTCGGGGCCGCCTCCCAGGTTGGGAGAGCTCGGGCGCCCAGGGCCTCCGCCTCGGCCTCCCTCGCTGTCCCGCGCTTCCCGCGAGGCGCTCCCCAGGCTACATTAAGGCCGGGACGCCTGGGGAGGGAGCCCGGGGCAACCACGGAGACTGCAGCGACCCCGGCGCGGGCGGGGCCGGAGACGCTGGGGCCAGAGCGCGCCAGAGGCGGGGGAGGGGACCGCGAAGGGGAACGGGGTGGGAGGGGGCGGTGCGCGGGTCAGCCCATCCGGTCGGCACCGATGCTGGCACCTACGAAGAGCGGGGCCTCCGAGGCGGCCGTGAAGCCGAAGGGGCACGGTCCAGCCCACCTTGTAGTCTGGAGCTGGGAGAGTCCTCCCCATCCAGCCCTCTCCCAGACCAGGTTGGAAAAACTTTATTCCCGCCCCCGCCCCGACGCGCCTAGAACTGTTGCGGTGAGGAACGCAAAGGCCAAACGAATGGGAGCCTCAAGTTAAGGTGGGGCCTTGGGCTCCCCGAGGGAGATACCGCGGCCAGGGTGGCAGGGGCGCGCGGAGAGATCGGCGCGTCCCTTTACCCTAAAGCTGCCGGACTTGCGCCCTGGGCGCAACAGGTCTGGCGCGGGACGGCCCAGCAGCGCCACCCAGCGTCGCGCCCAGCGTCCTGCGTCTCTGCCCGCTCGAAGCTCCGCGCCAGCGAGCGTGCGCCCCCGGGCGTGTCCACCGCCAGCCTGCCAGCCCTCGTGGCTGGGACGGTCTGGGCCTGGAGGCCTCCCCCAAGCCCGTCCTCCCACCCCAAGGCCACAGAGCCGAGGCTGGGTCTCCACTGAGGGATATGAAGTGGAACACTGCCCTTCGCTGGTTCTCTTTTTAAAATGCCCAGCCATCTCCAGTTGCCAGTCACCTCCAGTTGCCCGTCACCAGTTTACCCGCTTTTTAAATCTCCCACTGCCTCTGTCTTTTCATCAGTAAAAATGGCATAAAATCTCTGCCCTGCCTTTCCTCCAGGGCTGTCTTGTGGGAGTAAATGAGGAAATTAATGCGGAAGTTATAAACAAAAGGTGTAATATACATATGTGTAAATATTTTGTGTAAATATCTAGCATACATATACATTTCTAAGTATGATATACTATTTCATTTGTAGCACATGGCATGTAACACATGTTGAGCGATTATAATTCTGCAGGCACCGTGCTCAACCCTTCACAAGCATTTCATTTTGTCCTCCTCTGCCTTGCGTACTCCTATACATCTAGCAGAGTGCTTGACTCCTCTTAACTTTATGAGGGAGCTGCTGCAACTATCCCCAGTTTACAGATAGGGAAACTGAGGTGCACAGAGGTAAAGCCACTCTACCAAGTTATGACAGCTGCCAGTTGGTCGCACTGGCATTTGAACCTACCATGGTCTGTACTCCTAACAACTTCATGGTATGTATCCACAATGTTTCTTTAACACTGATGGGAAGTGTGCTTGGTCGGGAGTGAGCTTCACAGAGGAGGGATGCCCACTGGGATAGGTGCCCCTTGTGGGGACTTGAGGGAGGTGGAGGGGTTTGCCAGGTGTTCCCATGAGGAATAGCTAAGTTTTTTTGTTTTTTTGTTTTTGTGGTACGCGGGCCTCTCACCGCTGCAGCCCCTCCCGCCGCGGAGCACAGGCTCCGGACGCGCAGGCTCAGCGGCCATGGCTCACGGGCCCAGCCGCTCCGTGGCATGTGGGATCTTCCCGGACCGGGGCGCGAACCCGTGTCCCCTGCATCGGCAGGCGGACTCTCAACCACTGCGCCACCAGGGAAGCCCTAGCTAAGCTTTTAGAGACAGTGCCAGGCAAGGCTTTAAACCTTTTAAAACCTTTTACAGCAAATTCAATCTTTTAATTCTCTGATATGCTTGAGGTGGGCACTGTTACTGTCCCACTCTTCAAATGAGAAAAAAAGGAGGCACAAAGCAGTGAAGTTGCCCAGGGGCTATATACAGCGTCGAGGAGCTGGAATTCAAACCTAGACCCCTTAAACGGAAATCCTTCCCTAGCCACTGCCCCACGTTGCTGCATAGTGCCGGATATTGGGGGTAGGGGGATGAAATCCTTAGGGTTAGTTTGGTACCTTAATCCGTAAAGACTTAAAACTGCCTCAGAATACCAAGCACCCCTCCTCCAATGAAGGAGGTTATTTTAAATGGGGATAATAGAACCTACCTCTGGGATTATCAAATACTGCCATTTATGTCAAGCGCCAGCATGCAATGGGTGCTTAATAAATGCTTGTTGAATGAACAAATGGATGGTGTTAATAGCTGATATGGGTGCCTCCAACTCCTGAGTCATTATTATGATCGAGGGCTGATCCCTTCACGTGCGTTCTTGTGTAATCCTCACCAGAGCCCTGCAAAGTGGGTACTATCATCGTCCCATATTACAGGTAAGGAAGGTGAAGATCTGAAAGGGGAAGGGAGTTGCTCAAGGTAAACAGGTGAAAAGTGGCAGAGACAGGAGAAAAATGCAGATCTGGTTAGCTGCAAAGGCCCATTTCTTTAGGGCTGCACCATCCTGCCTCCAATGAAAGAAGGAACAAGAAATCGGTCCTAAGTCATTCATCAGGGGAATGTCACTTCAGGGTCTCCGGCTCTGCGAGCCTCTACCTGCCCAACAGGGGACCTGCGGTCCAGCTTTGAGGTGAAACCTGGACTCAGACTGAGGCTGTGCCTGTTTGGATAGGGCACCTTCACGGGTCTCGGTGGAGAGGCCCCCAGGCCAGTACACTGACAAATTCATGGAATTGCATATGACCTGTGGTGTGATGAAGGGAGGCCCAGGGGGCTGTCGGGGTACTGAGGAGGGGCCCTAACCTAGTGTGGTGAGGGTCAGAGAAGCCTTCCTGAGGGGTGACCTTAAGCTGAGTCCCAAAGAACCGAGATGAGGAGATTATTCTAGAGCCCAGTGGTACTTGACTGGGGTGGAGGAGTCCATGAATTTAGAAAGGCATAAAGTTACATCTCCATGGTCACTGACCTGGGACTTCGTCACCAGTAGAAATCACATATGTTCCTATCACATTACAGTTGTTGCTTTTATAACTTGACTCTTCATTGACACCCTTTACTGTTTGAAAATTACGGCAATTATTAGGCCTCCGCACTAGGTCTTTCTATTTAATGCATTATTGAAGAAGCACACGCATTACCATAGTTAAATTTAAATTGGTTTTAATATTTTGATAAATGTATATCAGTATGTTATAATTTCATTATAATTCCATGTATCCTGCTCTATGATTGAAAAGACATTATTCTGAGGTGGGGTCTAGAGGCTTCCACAGACTGGCAGAGGGGTCCATGGCAGAGAAAGGATTAAGAACCCCTGGAGGTCACATGTACATTAGCTTAGAGATGAGAGTGCGAACTCCAAGTAGCTCTCTAGCTGAAGTGAGGGGAGGGTGGTACCAGCTGAAATTCAACAGGTAGGAGGGACCAGGGGCCAGGTAGTCTGGCAGCCTTGTGAGTTACCCCATAGAAGAGCAGGAAGGGTCAGGCCGAGGCAGATTTCTGGCGTGTCTGTGTGTGTGTGTGTCTGTCTGTCTGTCTGTCTGTGTGTGTGTCTGTGAGCACCGAGCAGACAAGCCTGAAGGCAGGGAGGCTGTTGCAGCAATCTGGCTAAGAAGCAGTGTGAGTCTGAACCAAGGTCATGGCCATGAATCAGTGGCCGAAACTGAATCAGCAGTGATGAGGTGGGGAAGGCAGGGGAGGCTGGAGGAGGGCAGGTTTGCTGGGGGAGGAATTGGGGTTTTGTGTTTGGATATGTTGAACCTCAGATGTGTATTGTCTAGGGTTCCTGAAAGAAACCCAGTTCAATCCAGCTTGAGCGAAAAAGAGCTGATGGGCTTATTAAGTTGGAAGGCCAAGGGCAAATCCCACAGAGATGTCTGGATTTAGGGATGTGGTGAAGTCATGAGGACTCACTCTCTCTCCATATCTTCTCTCTGAACATTGGATTTTTTTCCCCCTGGAGTAGGTTTGTTTCACATGGCAGAAAAATGGCCACTAGTGCCTTAAGCTTATATTTTAACAGTTTATGCTCCAAAAGGAAGAGAGACTTTGTATGAAATCTTAGGGAAAAACTCTAAATGGGCCTACTTAGGTCACGTGCCTACCTCTGGACCAAGCAGTGTTTCCAGAGGACCCAGCACTCTGCTTGAGTCAGCCTGGACCAGGTGACCAGACATATGTGGGTATCATTAGCCATGACCCCATAAGGACCCAGAGAGGGGCAGGAGGGGTTCTGTAAGAGATTACAGGAGACAAAAATGCGCACAATGATACGGCAGTGGAACATCCAGGTGTAGATGCCCAATGGGCAGGTTCGATGGTTCCAGAGTTCAGCCCCTCCTAATGCAGAAAGACACTCAGAGTTGCAGGTCAGGAGATGAGGCTTCAGTCACCTCCTGGTGGCACGCCCAAGCTCATCTCAGTCTGCAGCGTCTACAAGGAACCTGGCCTCTCACATTCTCCCCCTCAGAGACCCAGCCCTGGATGCAGACACAGGCACATAATAATGGTTTTCCCTTCAGGATCCTTAAGAAGGTAGTTAGAGGTGGCATTGTAAACCACAGACCTCAGGATAGCTATTATAACTAAAAAGCACCAGAACGGCAAAAGCAGTTACTGGCGTCCATATGGGCAACACACACTCTGGTTAGGTGACTTTCTATTTCTGCCATACAGGCTGACGGCATCGTCTCCCAAGTCAATTTTAATTATACAGCTTCCAGCACATGCCATTTAGGTCCTGTTTTAGCTGTGCCCGTAACCCTGGGCAGTGTTTCTGAACACCACGGAAGTAAGAAGCCTCCGGGCTAATTAAATAGCTGGTCTGGAAATAGGAAGGGCGGCCCCAGGGCTGACATAACAGGGCAACCCTCTGAGTGACCATGCATTGGAGTCAGACCCCTTTCATCTCCATCTTCACCAGGCTAGTGTGGTTTGATAGCTCCAAGTCCAACCTCACCTACATAATAACTGTGTGGCCTCAGGTAAGCCATTTAATCTCTGGGAACCTGAGTTTTCCTCACCTGAAGAATGGGTATAATGCTTTCCTCCCAGGGCAGGTGTGAGATGGGGCCAATGAGAAAAATGCATGTGAAACACGAGCGCATAGTTCAAAACTAGTGGCTTCTTTCCGCCATAGCATACATTTAATCTGCAGCCACGGTGCCTCTTACCCTATTTTACAGCTGGAAGGGAAGAGTGTGTCAGGGGCAAGGAAGGGATAATGTGGAGGTTAAAATCCTGACCTCCGGGGTGAGCCGGGCCTGGGTCTAAGTCGTACCACCTGCCACTTAGAAGCTGTGTGACTTCACACCTGTCTCTCTGTGCACCTCACCTCCCTCCTCCATGAATGGGATGCTAACAGCCACTATTTCATGGAAGTGAGGATTCATCCCTTAGCACAGTGCCTGCCAACGAGGGGGTTCTCAAGAAATGCTAGCTATTATTATTTTTTATTTTCAAAATATATACACACTACACAGACAAGTCACTATTTTTACTAGTCGCTGTACTAGATGCTTTGTTTGCCCTGAACCATTGTCCTTTTCTGTTCATGGCCAAAAAAGAGAAGGAGAGCTGTACCACACACTAGGACATTCGTTCTCAAACCTGACTGCACAGAAGAGCAGGATGGGGGCTGTCTTGTTAATTTCCCATTCTCAGACTCCTCAGCAGAGATTCTGGTGCAGTGGGGTCTGGGGAATCTGCATTTCCTAACAAGCCTCCTAGGGTAGGCTGATGCAGGTAGTCTAAAGTTTGACCTTGACCTCCACACACTATAACATCATCTTTGGACTTCCCTGGTGGCGCAGTGGTTAAGAATCCGCCTGCCAATGCAGGGGACACAGGTTCAAGCCCTGGTCTGGGAAGATCCCACATGCCGTGGAGCAACTAAGCCCGTGTGCCACAACTACTGAAGCCCACGTGCCTAGAGCCCGTGCTCTGCAACAAGAGAGGCCACTGCAATGAGAAGCCCGCGCACCGCAACGAAGAGTAGCCCCCCGCTCGCTGCAACTAGAGAAAGCCCGCACGCAGCAACAAAGACCCAATGCAGCCAAAAATAAAATCAATTAATTAATTAAAAAAAAAAAAAGAAAGAACATCATCTTTATGTTGGTCACATACTTTCTACCGAGGAAGATGGTCACCAGCAGCAGGCTGCCCCATGAGTGTCGTTCCATTGGCTAGAAAGGATCAGGTGGAAGATTTCATGGAGGCAGGGGTAGGCCTGATGGTGTCCATAATCCTTCAAGATGTTTGACTCACCGGTGATGCTTGACCTCCAGCTGATCCCTGCATCCCACTGGCCATCTCCTTATCTTGCATGCTGTCTGCTGGCATCACTTCTAAGGGCCTTGCTCAGATGAAGGAATCTGAAGGTCTAGCCTTTGAAACCCCACTGAAGCCCCCAACCCATAATACCTCCAGCCCTCACACTGGTTCAAGAATTTCTACCACATAGGCTCCTGACTAAGGCTGGTAGCTATAGTCAGCCAAACTCTCTCCGCCCCTTGATTCAGAAAAGGGTAGCTAATTATTTAGCCTTGAAGAAGGAAAATC